AAATGAAACGGATCTTTCTTTCTCTCGTACATTGTTTTGATTTTTTGTTGTTTTTTCCGGTAAATTTATTATACTTCCAAATTTTGTCAGCTACTTGCAACACTCATAACCAGATGACAAACTCTTGTTATTGAATTTTCCCGCCGTTTCAAGTTGCTCTCGAACAAAACTCTCGGAAGCATGTAATCAATACAAAACACGTCATCTCTGTTTACATTAGAAATGCCAACACACGCATGGGGAAGGATGAGAAAGAATAGCGATGCGTGTTATACGCTTTAATTAAATATATTTCTCATGGGTAATATTTGGACACGGGTGTTTAAAACGAGGGATGTTCGAATACTGATATGTGGTGAGTACGTTTTATAATTTATTCAATGATTAAGAAATTATAATTGGTAATACAATATTACATATGATTCATCATGACATTATGAAAAATGATGCTTATATGAGTCTTGAATACCTATATACTTTATCATGAAAGTTTATTTAAATTTTCTTTTTGCAATTCTAATCTAAACAAAAACTGAAATTTAGGTAAAGGGTATGTAGTAATGAACATTAGCTTCATTATATTATTACTTTTGAGGATCCCTGCACATATTTACACAAATCACATTTCTACAAAGTGCATGTGTATTTTATTTCATATTTTATATGTTTTAAAATATCTAATTAAATGCTACAAGTTTTCTAGTTTTGGTTATGTAAATCATTTATAAATGCAGTATCCCTATAAAGTTTATCAAGGAAGAATTGTGTACTTTCTAATTATGATTTGTGTTTTAAAAAAGGTGATAATAGAGAGGAAACACAAGATCCCATTGTATATTATAAAACCAGTACAGAAGTATTTGATATGATACTTAAATGTCACCATCACCAGTCGTCCGAATGTTTCTTCTTGTCATTTAAGCTTGAAATGATATTTTCTCTGTAGCTTCACTGAGCCTGTAGTTATTGATCTGTGATTAATTGGTGTCTCTGGAATGTTGCTATTGCTTGTGCAGTAGACTCAGATACATACAATTAATGTACACTCATTTATCAGGTGTACATAAAAGATTAGGCTCACAACAAATTATCCATATGCTCATCCCATTCTTATATTGCTCATCTGCTGTATGGCAGTACTGTACATCATCTTTTTTTTTTCTTTCTCTGAATATTAGTTGTAAGCTCCAGACATTCATTATATAAAAATAGTAATCATTAGAAATGAGTTATGTTCTATCAAAAACGTTTGAGAATTTTTAGCTCCATTTGTTGAGAACAAGGCTATAAAGTCAATGGCGATTCAACATTAACCGTCTTATGTGGAGTTAAGAACTGATGTTATAATGGTAAATTCATAATTATCGTTTATTTAACAGAATTTTCTGTGACTTGTCTATAACCCATGTTCATTTCAATGTTCATTTCGCATTCGTATACCAGCTGGGAAAAATTATTTTTTATGAAATAAAAAGGAAATTATGCAATAATCACAGATTCCGCTATATCGATATCGTTTCTCGCAAGAAAAGAGTGGCAATACATATTAAAATCGCATTCGTTTTTATTCAGACAAAATGCTTGTGGCCGTTCTGAGGAATGATATAAACATGTTCTTGAACTTTTATGAGAAAGTGTGTAGATCTATTCCCCAGATTGTTTTTTCTTATACCGAGCTTTATTACACAAGGTATAAAGCACCAGCTGTTTTTCCACGGAATGCATCACAAAAGACCAGTAAGACGAATGAATCATATTGCCATCAAAATAACCGAAAGATAATTGAAAGCCACAATGCTCGGCAAAAAACAAAGCATTGGCTCAACCAAGTTTGATAAAAGCAATACATTCATCTAAATATACATTATTTCTGCTGTTTATGGGTTATACATGTATGATGTTACTGGTTAATTAAAGAAAACATCAATACTTGTTTTTGATTTACACTGTATATATGTTTATATTTACTTTTAAGGAAGCTCTAAACAATTCTCACTGAAGAGTTCCAGCTTCATGGTAGTTTCATACAGTTAGAGTGATCCACCCTTTTACATAAAATGGAATAAAAGGAAATCTACAGTAAATGACATAATCTGATAAAAATTAAAGCATTCTTAGCATCATTATGGACTAAAATAAAGTAACTGAAAACATTTTTTGTACGTGTTTTCCCATTGCAAGTACAACAGTGATTTCTGTCCACGAATACTTCATCGTTTTTGAACATTTTTCTCGGAGGAATATGGCCGGTACCCTATGTTGAAAATGAACTGGATAAACTCAATATGTACACCTTCTTATGATAATATTTTCTCAAAGTCCTAAAACTATTTTTCATCAAAGTTTATAGCGCTTCCTGAACAAGAAATTTCAGAGAATGGTGGTACCCCCGATTTTGGTGTGTTATTGGTTGAGGTGCAATGAACCAACTGCCATTTGATAACTATCTGTCTGTACATCATGCTAAAAAGAAGTTTTATATTTTTGAAATAATATGTTCTGGTATAAATGTTACAACCAAGTTATATGTTTTGAAAAGTAGGTCAAACTTCAAGGTCATGAAAAAAAATCATAGTACATTTGTACAGACCTTGACATAGGCAAGGCGCGTGTAAAATTACGAAAATACCCTGTCTTTTCAAGTTTAAAACTTAAGGGTCAAGGTCTAAATCCATAGTACATTCAGAAAGGTCGTGTATTGCACACAAGAAATATGAAAGCCCAATCTTCGCGCATTCAAAAGGTGCATTTATTACTTCAGTTATTTTTTTTTAAAAGAAAGTCATACTTTAAGGTCAAGGTCATGAGGTAAAAAGATCACAATATATTCGAAAAGGTACTCTTATAGGTAATGCACATGTGAAATATGAAAGCCTATCTTCTCGCATTCAAAAAGATTACTAGAGATAACATTTTTGAAAAGTAGGTTAAACTTCAAAATCAAGGTCATGAGGTCAAAAATCAAAGTATATTTGAAAAGGTTATGTCATATACAATGCACATGTGGAATATAAAAGCCGTTTCTTATCTCATTCAAAAGTTGTTACCACAGTTTTTGTTTTGTTTTTTTTTTGGGGGGGGGGGGGGGGAATAGGTTAAACTCAAAGGTTAAGGTCAAGAGGTCAAAAATTATTGTACATTCTGAAAGGTCTTGTTACAAGTAATATACATGTGAAATATGAAAGCCTATCTTCTTTCATTAATATACCCGCACTTTTGCGAAAAGGGGAGGGGGCAAAAACATGTTATCACTTCTAATCAACTTCGAGAAAGGAAAGACCTTTATTAAATAAATAAACAATGACCAGTCAAGATTCATGTATTGTTAATTAATATCATTCAAATATTATCTCTCTCACGAGTAACACATGTACAATGGATTTACCTGATAGGTGTAAAGTTAAATTGTAGGAGCAGGGTCGAATGGGTTTTTATCAAGTTCAAGTTCTTATCAAGTTCATTTATTTCGCTCACACCAACATCAGTGGTACAACATCAGTTTGAAATGTAATCAATTACGATTACTTTATTTTTAATATATAATTGATTGAACTAATGGTAAAATGATTTTAAATGATTTTTAAAAGCACATGTAATAGGTTAAATTAATGATCACCATAGAAAAAAAAATCATAATTGCCTTCTGATAACAATTGATTACTTGTGATAAATTGCTATGAACTAACTGAAAAGAGTCACAACAAAACTATTTTAAGTAAAGTATTTTACAGAACATTTTGTGAAAAACTTTTTTTTAATATTGAAGAAATAATAACAAATACAATACTAAAGTTGGGTTTTTAACCTGGAAGCTGTAGTATTCACTTTACCAAATCTTACAAAATATCAAAGATTAGGGATTCTGTACAGAAGTAATTTTCACGAATTTTCCACATTGTTTTTTCAATGAAGTAGGATTTGCATAAAATTCATGCACTGAAATGCTGCAGTATTTTGAAAACAGATTAAAAAATGATAATGATACAGATGAAGTGCATACCGATATATTGAATATTTTATACGTACATTGGCACGTACTAAAGAGAGTCATATTAAAAAAAAAAATCATAAAAATGGATAATTTGTAGAAATGAGCAAAAGAATTACACTGTAAGTCAACAATTGTTGAAATGGAGCAAAATGGAAAAAAAATAATAATTCGGAGAAAATTCGAAAAGTACTCATGCAAGCATTTGTATCTGAGTAATCAAATCCCGTGTTTTCAAGATTTTTGCTAATTTTATCAGGCACGTACCATTTGGGGGGGGGGGGGGGTTATAGGAAAAATAAACGTTGTACTTGCAAAAAAGTGGGGGAGAGAAACAACATCCCCCGGGCCCCCTGATACTAATGTCTGTCTATGATTAACTCTGATTGAAAACATTCAATCGGTTACAGCAGATAAATGATTATAATAAATTCTGATGTCCCCATGTCTGCCTAGATTGATTATAATCCCGACTCCCCCATGTCTGCTTAGTTGATAATAATTCCGATTCCCCCATGTCTGCTTAGATTGATTATAATTCCGATTTCCCCATGCCTGCTTAGATTGCATTTATGAACAGTAAAATAGGGCAACAGGTTATGAAAGATATGGTTTTCCCACATAGCTTTTTTAAAAAAGCCCTTTACATATGTATTAAGCACCACTTATATACTTAATAACTACCCAAGTAGACAAGTATTACGCATGCAGATATTCATTACTGTATTTTACAAATCGAAAACGAAATGATCTTAAGTGCTAACATTAGACTGAAGTCTGAAAATCTTAAAAAATCTTATATTACTTTGACACTTAATATTCGATTTTATTTAATGAATAAAGAAAATTAATCGGTTTGCATTTTTTAGATATTCGAATTAAATCGATGTGCAGGAGCCCTGTACTTAATTATTTAAAAAATACACTTTTTATTAATTAATGCATACATATGCGATTGAAACACTGATATCCTACTTTTTGACATAGACAACATTTCGGTTTATATTTTCAGGACTGGATGGTGCCGGAAAGACTACTCTGCTGTACAGAATAAAACTGGGAGAAGTCATAGATGCCTTACCATCTATAGGTATTGTCCTTTTTGGCATATTTTACTTTGTCAAATAAAAATCATTTTGGGAAAATTATCATATTTAAGAGTTTTATTTGTCAAATTTAAATATGTCGGAAAGGCCAGTAAGAATGCACCAAGAAAAATAAAAATGTATAGTTTTCTAAAAATATCCAAAATTATGTTATTCTTATGTTCTCACGGATGTTACGCGGATGTTAAAATCACCAAGCTAAGAAATTTAATGCAATTTTTATGTTGGCCACGTGTCTTAAGTACTAGTATTTTAGGAATTAACAAAAGGCTTGACATCGTGATGTAGAATCATGTAGTAAAGTACATTCCGTTTGTATACATATTTAACGCCAGTGTTCCTCTTACTATTTTTAAAATTCATCAGAATAGTTCTTAAAAAATAAACCATTTATCTGAGTATATCCTTTTCTTTTAGGTTTCAATGTTGAGACAATACAACACAAAAACATAAGGTTCACGGCATGGGACGTTGGTTGTCGAGAGAAAATGGTAAGAACAATTCATGTGAAGAGGGAAAATGGAACGCAGGGTGGAGACTGCCACATGGACTCGTGTATCTAATTAAATAATACTATCTATTTGCTTCAAGATAGTAAAATCGGGGTCTAAAAATCATTTTGGACCTACAATTTATGCCGTCTAACCACAAACGTGTTTGAAGTGATCTACTTAGAACAGAGTCACTAAGTAGGGAGTAAAAAGCAGGCTGATTTTGAAGTGAAATGTAGAGATTTAATTTGTACAACTATACAAGCATTATTAACTAAGATAATGAGAAATCGACATCAAGTTTGCAAAGTTATCCACCTATCCACCCGTTATTTTTTGTATCAGGGTAAGCGCCGAAGTCAATGAAAAACTGTACAAAGTATTCAATGCGAACACGTCAAACCGAGATATCCGTGCTTGTTGTTTTAAATCATAACGTAATCTTGATTTTTTTTCTTTTGGTTACAGCGGCCACTGATTCGATTTTACTACAAAGGTACAGATGCTGTCATATTTGTCCTCGACCGGAGTGACGAAGAAAGAATGGACGAATTATATCACGACATTCTACTTCCCGCCAATCTGTCACCAGAACTGAACCAGACGGTGTATCTTTTTCTAGCCAACAAATCTGATCTTGATGACGTCATGACTATGGAGGATATCACAGAAAAACTCAGGCTGAATCAACTGAAAAGGGTTTGGAGTACGTAAAATGATATTTCATCTTATTTGAAATAAAATGACAGGTGTTGCTCGATAACTTGGGGAACTTATTCCCTGAATATGGTTTTACTATCAAGGGACAAGAATTTTAAATATCTATTTTTCTTTCATTTTTTTTTTTAGATTTATTTCCCGTTTCTGCAAAGACAGGGGAAGGAATCGAAGAAGCATTTGACTGGTTAGTTTCTCAGTTAGGATCTACTCCGGCGAAGAAAGTCACAACTGGTGCTGCGACACAGGATACAAAAAATCAAACTCAGAAATTTACATACGGAATGGAACAATGTACAAGAGCGTTTACATCTCTTAAGTGGTTATTCATGAAATCAAATTCACAAGAATCAGTAACGGACGTTGATGATGACATCGAGACAACTTAGATAAACATCTATAAAAAAATATCTTCCCCATTTCATCTATGTCCATTCACCACAATTTAACTCGGGGTGTTATACTGTTATTTTGTTCATTTTACAATTAGTGCAATATTAATCTTGAGTAACCTTTCAAACGTATTTGCCTTACCAGTTATTATTATTATTTTTATACGTTGTATGCATTTTGATGTGCCATATTATATGCATCTTAACAAATAAAGAACTATACATTATAGTTGCATATGGTATGCATCACTGAAATATTCCATTATATATGCAAATAACTAAGGGTAAACTTTTCCTTGAAAGGAAAAGCATGGAAGAATATTAGTGATAATATTATTAAATTTTTTAAAGAAAGTTTAGTTTACAGAGTTACAATCAGACTGGATCGCTGGCTGTCAATAGGAAATTGTCAGTCCTTTCCAAAGTTATTCATAATATGCTTTTCTGAACAAATCACGTATATTAATACAATACGCTATAAACAGAATATAGATGACGTCAAATTCAGTGCTTGCTGATTTACCATGTGCATTATGAGTTATATTGATACATTATTTGTTGATGTTGAAGTTAGTATTTCTATTATTGTAAAGTGTTGCTTGATATGTTGCAAACAATAAAATAAAACACACACAATGTTGTTTTAAATATATTTTAACTAAATATGTATTTTTGAAATCAGCAATTAAATATATAAATAACGTTGTTCAATGAGATTATCTTATAAAATGTATCCTATAACATATTATAATTTGTTTATCATCCATGACAAAAGATACTGACAAATCACTAGTAGTTAAAACGATGTGAAAATTTTTCTTCTGTTTCTGTCAGAGTTGGCGTTTTGCATTTGACCCGAAATGATATCCAGCAATTCTGAATCAACTTTGTTTTGCAAGGACTTATATTTTTTGATTGCAAGTACAGTTGCACCGACAGTAACAGCAGCGGCAAAAGCAGAACCTATCGCTATCCATGCAGTAGAAGAATTGGATTTAGACTGAAGTTTCCTTTTATCGGTTTGCTGCAAAAATATAAATAAATTATCACTTAACTATCAAAGTCTTTTATCATTGATCAATTAACCATTTTAAAAAATACAAAAGGAGTTGTCTTTCTTTTATAAAAATTCAAATTTTCTAAGTAATCACAAGTTATACATGTAATTTGCTTGTTTGGAAATAAGTATCTGACGTAATCTAGGTGAAACGCAGATGTTTATGGTATAAAATGATACACCTGGATTCCTGGGGAATACTGAAAGTGTGATATAACAGATATATACCTTACTGCTCCCGTTAATGTCTACCTCCACGATAAACTTGCGCTCTCCTGAGAAATTTATTGGCAAAGTTTTCTCGTTTCCAGCGGAATCCAGGGCGATAACTGAGGTCTGATATGTACAACAGTTACCCCTATTTTTAAAACAAATAATATGATGTATGCAACAATATAGGAATAAAAACCTGCTGTTTATTTAACAGTGTAGCTTGTCACTCCTTAACCTTACTTGACTGTAGCTAGATATTTATTTTTGTCTCGGCTATCCTGGTGGTATGTAAATGTTACATCAGAGGATACCGGGTACAGACGAGTCATGTTTGCAGTGAAGACAACACAGATGTCCACCTCCCAGTTTTGATAAGAACAGTTGTGTGTGTTCATGCTCTCTTTTTCACAATTTTCTGAGCGGTTTGTCACTCTAAGATCTGGGGGGTTTACAGTAGCAACCTTAACGAAAGAAAACATGTGGAAAAATCCAAGCTACAAAAAAGCTTCTTTGTTTACAGTCCAGCTCGAACATGAAAACACCAAACAAATATAAAGAAAAACCAATTGTTAGAAAATTAAACATTGGGAGAAAATACATAAAGACAACATTTATAAACTCATGCATCATGGCTTATCTCACCATTAAATGCTTTTCTATTTTGGAAACTGCTCCTTCAATTCCCAAAGTCACAGTGAGTTTTCTTCAAAAAGAAAGGATGATAGCTGGCATTGACTTTATCGACAAATACTCTCCTATCTTACGTTGATATAAAAGTTTGCAATTACATGTCAAAATAAATTTGTTTACTGATCATTTTCAGTTTAACTTGCTTATGAAATTATAACTTTTTTTTCAAATTGGAAATGAAAATAAAAGACCAACGTATTTGTTGCAGTTGGGATAGCTGTTAGATGAAAATCAACTGTCTTCGTCTCGTTTCCAGTTAAGGTCACGTGTTTGGTTGCGTCAGAAAGAAATCCCTCGGTGTCTGTCGCTGACAATTCGAACGTCTGCTTAGAGATTCCCGCGTTTGTTACTCTAACACTCACTGCAACCTTTTGGTTGTACAAAAGCGGGTCTACGAAAATAATTGAAGTATACTTTGATTTGGTAAATTATACGATTTTCTGCACACATAAAATACAGACCAGAAGAAAAAATTCGTATTTGGAGGATTTAATAGTATGAAGAAAGAATTGTAATTTGGAATCTGTTAATTAGTGTATAGGTTATTCATTTTCTCACTACGAGACTTATATCTATATAAATAGTTTTTCTCATGAATACAAGCAATGATGTTAAATCTGCCAAATACATTTATTGGAAAAAGGAATCATTTTCAAACTGTCGTTATTTACCGGAGGAAGGAACAAATTCAATTGTTCCCCTCATAGGCGTCACTATATTTTGATCTTCTCGAGTCATTATTTCCGAGCCAACCATTCCTTTGATTCCTACGTAAAATGGCTTCCAAAATAAAAATAAAATAACATGTGTACAATGCAGTTTAAAAATTGAATTTTCACAGCAATATATATTTCATTAAATATTTCCTAAATTCATTGATTACTACAGTACCTCTTGCAGGGTGACTTCCGTGAACAGGGATCTTGTGGTACCTCTGCATGAATCTGTCACAGGAAGTGACGCAATCAAATGACCATCTGATTTCTTTAGGTAAATTTCTGTGATGTTGGTACGTGTTGTGAGATTTGTAGGTATTCCTTTTATAGATACACTCAACGTGTACTTTTTGCCTGAATGAAAAAGAGTGAAAATTATTAACTTTTGTTTTATATTTAACTATACGTTCACTGAAACGTGCAGGAGAATACGAGACATTCGGTTTCAAGATAACGATGTTTGACTGTACATAATTTTTGTGGGTCAATAACCTGCAACAGGACTAGTTCCACTTATTGTATATTTTACTCCTCGTACATCTTCCATTATTTTATACGTAAAGTCAATAGATCCACTTCCTGAGACGGTGATGTGACAATGGTTTTTATCCAAATTCTTCAATTGCCACATACCATAAGAAGGACTCTGAAAAATGAATGATTCTTTTATCGCCGATCACATTTCTTTTTAATCTACACAATATTGTACGGAATTTTTTCTGAAAATTAAGAAATGTGGTCCTTACATGAACAGAAAGAATAGTTGTTTTTCCGTCTATAATGTCTTTGGATGATTTTCCCGTGAAAACTTGGTTTGAACCTAGAAACAGCAAAAACATACAGAATATATTGATTTATTTGATTGTTGGTTTAATGATGCTTCTAAAAATTTATCAGTAACAATGATACCACACTGCCAAGCTTGTGGTTTGTATTTTTTCTCTTTTAAGTATTGTTACTGTATACTCGTATATTGTTAAGACCTAAAAATGAATAATATTTTGACTCACCGTCGGGGCGGACTAGAGCGACATTAGAACATCCATAACCCTCTAGCTTGACTGTGAACAGGGACAGACAGGAATCCACGGGGAAAGACTGGGGGTCCCCGTCCAAATCAAACGAGTTCACGCCTAGTGTCTGTATGTTCATATTTTCCTGCAATCATATTTTGAAAATTTAATATATCTGAATTTTTTTTTCAGTCAAATATAATTATTTATGGAATAGATCTGACAAGCGTATTACCTACGGTAAAAGTGTAGCACTTTTAATGACTTATAATTAATTTTTAAATAAACAATAGAATTTATGTCTACAAAATTCATACAGTAAATTGTACATTTACGACAGCAATTTCTTTAACAGAAAAAAATCTTTGATGCTTTGCTTTTAAACTCGTCAACCAATGTTATAATATTGAAGTGTTCAACCATACCTGGATTATTTGACCAAAGATACTTCCTATAGTGGAATGTGAAGTTTGTATCGTATGCGAGGAAGTCTGTAGAGCAATCTTTTCAAAAATACTCCTAGATATGGAGCGTTTTCTTCTTCCTTTGGTAGATAAAGTTTAATATAAATGAGGACTGGAAAATCAAACACGTTATTGAATCAAATTGAATGAGAAGAAATATCATTAAATGTTAAATTTGCACATTTGGAATCACCATGAACATATTGTTTTAAGGTTATTATACAAATTTTGTAATGCTTTTTCATGCCTTTACTGATATACACCAGTGCAGCGATGGAGCATGCAATATATGGCTCTTTTATGTGTAAGCTTAGTCTGGTTCCTGCCCCCGCCACTCCGTTTTTCACTTCGTTTTGGGAAACGAAGTGAAAAACGGAGTGGCGGGGGCGGGAACCAGACTATTGTAAGCTTCGGTAGCATTACTGATGATTGCAACAATGACAACAGGAAGTACATGGGCCATCCCGTTGCACACGGGACATTGTATTTTGCACATCTGATTACATTCTTCGTTGATATTTATTCCCATCTCATCCACTTTCAATATTTTAAGAAGAATTTAGAAAGTACTTTCAGCGCTTTCTTTTACCTAAATGGCGATTACTTGCATTGGGTATGCAATGAACATCGTGATTTTTGAAGGTAGATCTTCTCGTCAGGTGGTGGGGTCTGCCACTAGATGCAGGAGTAGAACAGTTCCCTCTCAGAAACTGTAGAAGACGGAGACTTCGATTATTTATCAGTTGTATGACGTCAGACAAGAGTTCAGGGTCCTTGGCATCAGCATCCGTAAAAAAGAAAACGCATGAACCGGGCTGGGCGATTTTCATGGCTGTGAAATATATTTTGTACAAATACGTCAAATAAACAGTTTCATGGGCTTTTTGTAACACTACTAAATACGTATTCCGCTTTCTTACCATTAATCATTCCGTGGAGCGCCATTTCTGGACAGTCCCCACCTCCATTAGCCCTCAGCGACTGCAACCTTTTCTTCATTTCGTCGCCGCTTGTCGTCACAAAAAGGCTTGTTTCTGTCATATAATACGAATAAATACCATCTATGTTTTAATACAAAAAAAAGAAGAAAAAGACATAAATATTAAACATAATTCTTGAATAAACAAATCGGGTTGTCCAGCTTTTTTCATGGTTTATTTTAGGCTTTTGAATTCTAAGAGTCCTACAGCAAAACATGATTACAGCAAATCTCAAGGTATACTCTGAAATCATCTATGTCCGTATGTTACTCTTATCCACGAATTTACATCCCCACGAACAATTGTTTTTGTAAACATATTTATTCACTGAATCTTCTGTATATACAAGCTTCCCACGAAATTACGTCCCCACGAAACAACAAACGTTTCTGCTTGCCCACGAACATTGACCCCTACGAATTAAAATAATTCCACAGTACCAGCCAATTTAGTTATTTTCAGGTTTCATTTAATTCGAAATCCCTTTTATTCATTATACTCTT